CCGCACGCTCTTGAATCGCACCCTCTCTCCTCTCCTTCCCCCTTGCCTTTCCCGCGTTTTATCGCCGCAGTCTCTCTCTTTCTGTTTCTCTCTGTCACGCGCACATGCACGTGAGTGCGCGCGCGTGAAGCAACTCTCGCGGAGATAAAAATCAGTAATTAGCCCGGACCATTATGGCGTCTGTGTGAAAAATTAGCGAGTCGTGGGGTAACCACCCCTCTGGGCATAATCCTGCATCGGTAACGGCGCGTACCAGCGTGCATCCAACCTGTCTCTGATTTATACGGGTTTGCTATTAATTATACCCACCCACCCACAACGCTCGCGCGCCCTTTCACCCTTCCTTCCACGTCGTCTTTTCGTCCCTATCTTTTCCCTCCACCGCGCCCCCTATCCGCGCTCCATCGTTCGTTCTCTCTTTTTAATTCATCGGCGTGTGTATCGCGCGCACGCGGCCAGAGAATCTTCTCGCGAATTAACGTCAAACAGCGCCTCATCTCGCGGAATCTCGATCGGCCCGTGTTTTATTGCCCGAGATACGCGCGTCCGCGCGTAAAACAAAATAGAAATCTGGGCGAAAAATACGCGGGCGACAAACGATTAAACTGCGTCGCGCATAGTCCATAACTTTCGAAAAGAGAGAAGGTATGTCCGTTAAAATTCTCGATGAGACATTTCCGCCAGATAAATCGCGTCAAACGCGAAATACCGATTTTGCAATAAGCGCGCTTTCTCCGGGTCAACTTTCGAGCGTGCGGCGAATGTTTTTATTTTGTTTTGCACGCGCCAAAGAATTCGAGCCATCGCGCGTCGAGCCGAAAATTCCGTCCCGGGATTTTGCGCCGGTCGTTGTTTCGACTGCCGCCGCTGGCCGGACTCGACGGGCTGCGGTGCAATTAAATTAAATGCTTCGGATTAATTGTTCGAAAGCAGTTAAATTAGTTGCGTTTGTTTCGCCCGATTTTTGCGCAATCTCGCTGCGGAATGCGTGAGATGCACGCATCGGGGGAATTTCGTTTACCCACGGCCCCTCGCGCGTTATATAGCTCGGTGCCCTGCGAAATCACCGCGATGCAAACGTATCAACGCGGAACGATGGCGTGCCCCGAAAAATTCATTTGCAAAAGCCGCATTCGACGCGGCCCCGTCACGCCGGTGAAGCCGGCCGGCGGGAGGAAGAGAGAGAGTCGCGCGCGATCAACGCGCGTTTCGATGCGTTTCGCCCGATTAAAAACTCGCACAGGGCCGACCCAATTATTAATACTGTGTAACACACAGTATAGGTAATGCAAATTTCACAAGTGCGCAACAGTGAATTTAACGCGCGACTCTGAATCTTTTAACATCGGCCCGAAATCAACCCACACAAAACTACAATATTCATCAACCGATCTGTATAAATCAACATAATTATATTTTTATTTTCACCTCTTAACTCGACCGTGGTTTTGCGCCTGGAATGGAAGTTGCGGAAGCGTGCTTAATTCTCATTCCGGATACCGAACGCGGGGATCCTCGAAAAAAGAAAAAATCGGGAGAGAAAGAGAGAGGAAGGTGGGAAGGGGAAGGAGGACAATAACGACACTCTTCGCATTGTCATTCCCCCGGACTACGGTGGCTCGCGATTTTCCTTCGATACCGCGCGACTCGAAGATCCCCCCTCTATTACCGCGCATACCAGCAGCCGCTGAAGGCCATCCCAATGCCCCCCCGACTCGGTGATATTCCACCGGCCAATCCCCGTCGAGGATCGTGGCCGGTATAGCAGCCCGCCGAGAGCCGCCGCTGCATCCTAGAGTGCAGCTGCAGCGCCGGCGCGGACTCTTGAGCCGCATTGCTCGGATTCTGGCGAGATGCGTCTAGGACCGAGAGGCTCCGACGAGCTCGCAAGTAACGCGCCGGTAGACATGGTCAGACTGGCATCCGGCCGCAAGCTCTCGACCTCATCGCAACCATACGCTGGCCCCCGAGTCCACCCGGCTTTCGAGCTGCCGCCCGGCTAGTCTCTCCCACCCACCCGTCCATCCGTCCGTCCGTCCACCCGCCGAAATGCAGAGAGAGAGAGGCGATCCTGTAACGCTCGCCCTCCCGAGACCCGGCAGCGAGCAACGTCGAGACATTCGGGACACGACGGCCCGAGGAGAGATATGCATCATTTGGTTACCCGACCGGCCGACTAGCGCGTCTCCGATTGGCGTGCCTCCGATGCATCCCCGATCGGATCGGTCCAGGCGATCGGTATGCGAAAGGGTCCTCCAGTCAAGATTTTCAGCATAGCTGCACGAACGCATGCCGTTCGGATTCGGATCCACGAATCTGCGTGCCGATATTGTCGCTGTATCGGCGAGCCCGTATGCACTCGTGTGCTTCGTTACCGGAGAACGTTACGTCGCTTGGTAACCGTAAGCGCGATAGTAGCGGAAGAGTAATGGCCCGTTAATAGGAATACCGTATCGGCACACGCGCCTATGCATGTCCCGCGAAATCCCCGGATTTTCGGACGTTGCTGCTGCGTCTACCGGTGCTGGCCCGTTATTTATTCTGCATTCGCTGCTTTTTTCAGAGAATACACGGACCAAAATTCGTCTTATACTAACGACAGATATTTTTGCACATAACCGAGAATATTATAATCTTCTTGGGAGATTTTTAGTCTTGATTTCATTGAATTCGCATCGTGTATTACTTGCGCTCAATTCAAAAGAGTAAAATATCTTCCGTGAATATTATAATATTCTTTCTTACACGTGAGAATATCTATCATTGATTGAAGACTTTATTTTCCGGTGTATGTAAAATATCGCAAGTTATCCGAATTTCGAGCTAACAATTCGCGGAATCGGACATCCGTGGTGCGATCGCAACCGATTTCTACCGACCGAGGCGTCCTTCGTCGAGGTTTTCACCGCATACTCGGCGCGCTTGCGAAACAGATCCGAGGAGATCCTCGTCTCGCGCGTTGCCAACGACTTTTTCGAAGGGACAAGGACCCCGTTCCGTAAGAGTTCTATGAACGCGGACACACACGCGTACCGGTCGTTCGTCCGGTAGCGCGCATTCCCGACACCGAAATTGCATACCTCCGTGTGCGCACACATACGGGTTGGAAACAAACGAATAGGGTTGTTCGGGCGCCGTAAAGGGTCCGGCGGGACGAGGTGGCGAGGAGACGCGGCAGGGCGGTGAGCGACCGAGGGCGGACAGCGGGGGGGGGGG